TACAGTGATATCAGTTTTTGATTGATTCATTCATTCAGTCAGCTTCTCTCGTCAGTGTTAGTCTCAGGGTTAGTGGCTTCTGAATTAGCTCCTTCCTCAGTCAATATTTTACCCATTTCATTTAATTGAAGGTTTGGGATGCAGCCATATTAACTTGCAAGAAAATATTTATATACAGTGAATCCCTCCCAAGGCTCATTGTAAGGAGGGGTGGGAGGGGGAGGGAGAGTTGGGGGGGGGGGGGCGGGGAGAATTGACTCACTACACCTTAGGAAATTATTTTTTTCAAAGAGTCAGTTTGATGAAACCAGATGTGTGGTTTTGTGATGTGCTGAGTTTATTGACCTTGGCTCTCATGTCAACCCAGGGTACCAGGTAATGTCCTGGGAAGTAAAGGCTGCAGGCATAATGTTGACATCACCCATCAAGTGCCGATTTGGTCAAAAAAAGTATGTCTAGTGCCATATGTCTGCTGTGGCACTGGAGTGACGATAGTTCTTTATTTATTTTTTTGGTTTTAATTTGTTAAAAATGTTTTATAAACTGAAATGCTCCCAATCATGTTTAGTTGTACAGTGAATGGATGCAGGTGTTTTACTTCTGCCAGATTATTCTGGAGGGAGTTACTGGAGGGTACGGAAGCTTTATTGGAGTTGATGACACAAGTGTTGACACCATGAGCTGTAAGACGTCACCTGACAAAGCTCTGCCTTCATTGGCTGGTAATGACTGAGATGTTGTTTTGTTGAAAACTTGCTCTTATTTTGCTGCCTGAGCTACTGTTTAGTGCTTGATGCAGCACTGTGAGCTGTGTTTTGCCTTTTATTTGTGCAGTGGTTGAGTCGTGGTATGCATTATAGCCAGTAGTCGGTTTACATGTGGGCTGGTCAAATATCTTTTGTAATAATTGTGTGTGTTTATAGCCATCTTATTGTGAACAATTACTTTCATCAATGAATAACTGTATTTCTGGTGGTGACTATTGGCTCTCTAGCAACTGCCATATGCATTTACTGCATGTGTAGATTTCTTGATTGTGCTGGGACAATTGTTTTTTTTACCAGTTTTTCAAAATGATAATGAGAGAAATTTCATTTGATTTTCACTGGCACAGGAATAGAGCAGGTATTGGGTGACCCAATTGTAGTGAAGATGAAATCTCAACTACGACTAGCTCTTATTTCAGGAATAATAAGCATTCTTACTCTGCAGCTTCTTCTAGGGAAGACTGACTATATATGAATCTGTCATGGGAACACTGATGTTGATTCAGTATTATCTATCTTCACCTCTCTGCCGTCATCTTAGAAACAGGTTCTAAACCAGGGATCGGGCTATCATAGATAGCATCAATGTTTCTTTCAAAGTTGGAGTGCATTTGCCTCAGAGGCAATGAACCAGAAGTCTGCTACAAATAAGCCATATTTGTAAAATGGATGTGCCCACACAATTCAGTTTAATTTCTGGAAGAAGACAAATGTCCAAAAGTGAATAAACAATCAAAAATTTTCACCTGAGCTTACAACCGGAGAACGCGAAGAAGATGATGGTTGTTTGTGTTTATTTCATCTTGACTGTGCATGCAGGTAAAATGTGTCAGTTGCGTAACACTATTCATTAATTAATTCATAATTCTTTTTTATCTAGCTACTTCTTTTGTCATCTAAGAACATTCTTATATTGTACTCATTTACAGCATTGCTGCAGAATTTGTTGATTTTGACCGATACAACTAACTTCTTTAGGCATTTTTTGCCTAGCTAGTTTCTGGGTAATGAAGACTTGAAATCATTGCACTCAGCATATTGCCACATACGGTCTGTTTTCTTTTTCATGAGCCACCAGTTCGTTCTCACCCTAATAGTATTAGTGGTTTACAGAATGTTGCAGAACCAACTCCCAAATTTTTTGGCTGTTGTGGGTTTTTTTAGACAAATTTATGTTTAGTAGTTTGTCATTGAATTTGTGACTGGTTGGCTCTCAGTACCACTGTCAAAATCAATGCAAGATGTTCTGCTGATAAATGGCTTGCAGCTGGGATCAAACCCGGCACCCCAGAATTACAAAGCGCATTCGCAACACCTAAGCCACAGAGGAAGATGATTAAAAGTACACCTTTCTTCACACCTGCATCACCTGAGTGTCATGAAGACTCGATACTCACTTTCCACAAGATTAGTCTCATAAAATAAAAATGTTTTCATTGTTCTGCTACTGCTCTTTGTACTTAAAATGCTTTCAGCACATTTACTTTATCATTAAGTATATTCCTGTCCAGAGGAGGAGTACCAGCCAGTCTATCAGCATGCTCATTGCCCAGCTGTCAATATTTTACTTGTATAGGTTTTAAAAAAGTGAAGGGCTCTTGTCGCATCATTAGTACATGCCGTTAGACCCATAATTCAATAAACATGTCCGCATTTAATAGATAGTGTTTATATCATGCCAGCCACCTTTACTTCTCTGGGAATTTTCCCGTATCACTTTAGACTAGCTCTACATTAGAGCTAAGATTACTTTTAAATGACCTGCTTCGGTGCATATTCAAATCCAAGATCTTCAGCCAGCAAGCAAGTATCTAGCAGCGAGAAACCTTAGCTTCCCGGAACAATTTTACAAACTTCAAACAACTGGCAGCATCCATGGCTAAGAGGTTATGAATGCAGTATTAATTCAAAAATACAAAAATTTTGAGTTCACATGGGCTAGTCCTAAATGCTGTGATGTCAAATCTTTAACCAGATGAACCTGTTTTGATCCAGCTTCAGTCAAATTGGCATTAGACTAGTGTGAGTTGATTTCAGCACTGGTATGAAGAGCTGACCATCATAAGGCAAGGACAAACTCATCATCATGTAGCAGGTCCTTTGCAGAATGTCGCTCTCATCACAATCTGCCTGAAAGAAACTTGGTCTCTCGCCAGTTCTACCGCCTCATGCACTTTCACACTTATGGAGTCACTTATATCCCTGCCCCTCCTTCCTGGTACCATGCCTTCTGATATAATTTTTTCCAATCCGTCGTGGCACTTGATATGACCAAAGTATTTCAGCTTTCGAGAAAGGATGCTGTTTATTAGCCAATCTTTCTTGATGTTCAGATCTTTTAGGATGTCAGTATTTAAGGACAAACTACTGAATGTAAAATTGCTAATTTAAACCACAAGAAGCCAACACTTTCTGGGGTTAGTTCTGCAAAGTCCTTGCTGTGATTCTTTGTTCCTGTGATGTGCCCAATATACCATTACTATCTGTGTCATAACTGTTAATACCAATTGTTGTCAGACATTTCAGTGAGCTAGTATAATGGAGCACCATTGCTGGGTTGCTGTCTTTGTCTGGTCAGGGTTTAACAACCAGTGTTCAGACATTCTGTTACAGGACACGTAACTAACTTTTAAAAAAAATAGATTTCTCTTTCTCACATATGGATGCTGTCTCTCATAATGCACACTCACTCCTTAACATCCTCCCCAACACTCTTAACATCCTCCCCAACACTCTTAACATCCTCCCTAACACTTTTAACATCCTCCCCATCACTCTTAACATCCTCCCCAAAACTCTTAACTCTTTCAGGCCCATGCATTTTGACAGACTTGGCCCACATTAATTTCCCTTTACAAAAATGGCAGAGGGGTGGGTGTACAAGAAAGGCTGTAGAGATTGTAATATACTTCTAATTCCTATAACAGTATATATTTTTTAAAAGAGAAATGATGTACATTCTTAATCTGATGATAAGTGTTTGTTTGATTTTGTTATAGTTAGTGGAAAAGAAGAATTCAGCAGGTGTTAATTTCACAATGACAACATTTCGCACACAAAATTCTTCACTTACCATGGTTTTGCAGCCACAAGAATAGTAAATATCCAAATTTGAGAACAAAACTTTAAAGTTTGTTCAATTTCCTAACATATTCTAAAGTTATGATAACTTTCTGGGTTAGTTTATCACTCAGAGGCTCTTAGTTCCCACCGAGTGCTAAGCAAAATTTCAGAGAAAAAAATGGCAAAAAAATGAGCCATAACACACACACTATTTACTATTCACTTTGTACAGTTATTTACAGACGGTAGCTGCGATGATTTCAATGTAGCTTAGCCATAGTATAGTACTATCTCTTTGTTTTGAGCACTTTCCTTCTCTTACACCATAAATACGGTAGTATGGGACATTGTCTGTGTAACAAACTCGTCAGAATCGCTAGATTCCGAACAGCTGATCGCTCAGCTTCACTGGTGAAAATTTACTGTCCGAATCACTTTCCGAAAAATCTAAATTTTTATTATCATTATCACAATTAAAAACATCTGCCTGAAACAATTTCAGAGCTTCGGCAGCAGAAAGACGCATTCTGGGACATGTTCTTGTGGTTAGAACATTGGTATTCAGTGCACTCAAAAATGAACTTAGAAAATGAACTGTGAAAAAAATTTTGATGTTTTTTTCTCTCAAATTATCCACGTGTGGTTTAGTCCAAGAAATGAAACTAAAAGGATTTTGGCAGAGTGACTTTCCCTGAATAGGTTATTCGTACCTCCAAACATTAGAAACTAGTACGAACGCAAAATGTAAGAGACACACGATTGACGATAACACCGTTGTTTGGGCAGAACGGAACTTCTCAAACTACGCTCACACCGTTGTTTGGGCCTTAAAGAGTAAACATCCTCCCCAACACTCTTAACATCCTCCCCAACACTCTTAACATTCTCCCCAACACTCTTAACATCCTCCCTTACACTTTTAACATCCTCCCCAACACTCTTAACATCCTCCCCAACACTCTTAACATCCTCCCCAACACTCTTAACATCCTCCCCAACACTCTTAAAATCCTCCCTTACACTCTTAACATTCTCCCCAACACTCTTAACATCCTCCCTTACACTTTTAACATCCTCCCCAACACTCTTAACATCCTCCCCAACACTCTTCCTTTGACTGCCATGCTCTCACACACATATCGTATTTTCTATTATGATTATTATATATAGGCTTTGGTGATGTGGACTGTAACTTTGATGAACAAACATTCTGCAACTGGTCACCTCATGGACAGAGCAAACTTAACTGGACTTTCACTAATGGTTTCACATCATTCAATTCATTTCAAGTGACCACTGATCATACCGGCAAAGGTAAGCTTTGATGTTTTATAAACTGTTCACAATAGAATTTACGAACATATGTTCAAATTTGTCCTTGCATGGAAAACAAAGATAGAAAACAAAGATGATTCTCTGCAATGTTGTACCTGAAAGTGCTGAGCATGCGTGCAAACACTATATTCTGTATGCTGCAAATAAAGAAGAATTGTGGCCTGTTCCAACCTCAGTCAAGATAAACATATGAATCAAAGGGATATTTGGACTGCGTGATAGCTATTATTAAAGTTGCTGGTCTCCTGATAGGTCATTTCTGATAGAAGGATAGAAGAAGAAGGATTAAAAACAACAAGAAATAAAACAAGAACTAGTCAAGAAGACCAATAAGAAGAACAATAATGAACAAGAAATTGTTATTTTCTAAGGTTATCAGCATAAATAAATTATCAGCTCCAAGATAGCGTTATAAATACTTTATTTTGTTGTATTTTTTAGCAGTTAGTTTCAAAACTGTCACTAAAAATATGTTATTGTCTCCATGTTAGGAGGATACTACATATACTTTCAATCTGCCTTCGGTAACCCTGGTGATAAAGCCATCTTATCATCCCCTGCAGTCCCTCCGACCAATGGCTTGAGCTGCTTCTCATTTTGGTATGTAACTTGGTTAGGTAAAATGTGTTTACAGATGAATTTTGAAGCCTAATGACTTATTTACAAAAATGAATGTTGAATGTTTTATTAAGAATTGACATAATAGCACTTGGTACACTCTCATGAGCACTCTGTCTCCTTTTTTCAGCAGCAGGTGAAGAATTCCAATTCCGATGGCACTAGTCTGATTGTGTATCCATCTCCCCTTTTCTTTGAGTGTTGAGCGTTGGCCAGATCCCCTTTTAACTCTTTGCAGTGCCATTCTCCTTAAACTGTAATGATTTATCTGTGCCTCCGCACTGTTCACTTGCTCCCATAGGGCCCTCACAACTTCTAGCTTTTTATACATCAGTTCACCACAAGTGGTGCAGAAGCAAACATTCTATGGGCCTATTCATTTCCCAAAACACTGGCATTACATGGATAAAATATCCCAAGGATGCTAACTACGTGGGACCTCTGAAGGGATGCTTGCCAGTTTGCATGGAGCATGCCTGTCTGCACCTTTCTCAGCATATACTGTGAGCCAGTTACAATTGCAACATGTGTTTACATCTGATTCTCAAGCCAGCGGAAGGCAGCAGTGACTGCCTCCACCTCCATTCTCAAACTAGACATTGTGATATCATGTGTCAGGCTGGGAGTATGTACAAATAGGAAGATCCTCATATGCATAGCCAGAAGGTATATTATACTCTACAAAGAACCACCAAGACCAGGGCTCATACTGACTGAGACATATCTATACCTCTCCCCAATCAACCCAGAAACAAGTTCCCATCAAAGAGCCTTTCCAACATGGGTAGGTTTGATGCTTCCCATAAAGTCATGGATAGATATAAAACCGAACGAAAAGCAGATTAGAGTGAGCTTCACAATATAACAAACACAAATGACAAGTGAACATTGGGGCTACAGAGCATTCATCAGCACAAAAATGAAACAAAAACCACATGAATATACACAATCACTTAAGTGACAAAAACTCTCTGTCTCTCTAACAGGCGTATGGTAAAAAGTGGCTAATTGGGGGTTTTCTTGCATTGAATATGTTGAGCCAAAAGGCACAGGTACTACAGCCCAGTTGTAAACCACAGCAAAGCATGTCATGACCCTTTTAAGGGTGAGCACAAAGATGGAAGCCGAAGAAGAAGAAAGAATCAACAAGATTTGTAAAACGGATGTACATATAACTCTCAGTTCCTGAAAGAAAACCAAAGTCCAGAAATAGCAGAACAAACAGAACTTTCTGCTGGAGTTTACAGCTGGTGAACGTGGAGAAGAAGAAGAAGAAGAGTACCATGGCTGGGGATGAAAAATGTTAGAGATTCATTACAGTTGACCTTGTCTGATAATATTTAGAAAATGTCTCAGAATAATACCTGTTTCAGATCCACACATAACATATTCAAAACAATGTTTTCCTGTAATGAATTCAAATAATGCGGACATAAACAATACATTGCCAGGCATATTTCGCTGTATCTTGTCAGGTGAGAATCGCCAAAGCTTTCACAATAAAAATCAACCCCCCCTCCTTTGTAAGCAGATGGAATTTATTGTGAATTTGAAGTTACCCTGGTAAGTCACGTGACTATGGTGAGCTTCCGGTGGCCATGAAACACACACAATGTATCAGAAGAAACAATTTGCATTTCAGTTGGATTTATTCAGTGTTGTGCTTTATTTTATGTTGATATAACTCTGTAGTAACAGTCCTGACGAGATACAACGAAATATGCAATCAATTGTGCAATGTGTTGTTTGTGTCCGTATTATTTCAATACATAAGATATTATTGTCATTATCTGCCACTTCCACTTGGTAGAACCTGCCATGTCTCTGCAGATCTTGGCCATTGATGTTATAGGTTAGAATTCTGTTGATGATATTCATCCATGCCACTTACTTAAAATATATGGGAACTGGAAAGAGCATGTACCACAACCATTTTCTCAGTGCTCAGTCTACGAAGGTTTGATTTGATTTGATTCAACAACCGACATCACAGCACTCGGTTCATTCCCATAAGCACTTCGTCCCCATTTACAGCAGCCAATGAAGAGTTCCGATACTAATGGTGCCAGTAGCATTCTGATTAAACATCCGTCTTGCCTTTCCTCTGAGCCTTGAGCATCTGCCAGAACCTCTCGTCACTCCCCGCTACAAAGGTTCAGATGGCTAGGTCACACTTGGAGGATGCTACTCTAAGGACATCTTCTTATGTGAATAGGTAGAAGAAGTTGACATCAGCCTCTACTAAAACTACACTTAAGACAGTTCAATTGATAAGATAAGTTTATATTGATCATTCGGCGTCTGTGGCTTAGGTGTTGTGAACGAGCTATGTAATGCCAGGGTGCCAGCTTTGATCCCAGCTGTGGGCTTTGCACCCTGCGTTGGTTTAGACAGTGGTATAGAGAAGCCGACCATCCAGAAAGCAGTGGCAAACTACTGGATGTAAATTTGCTTAGAAAAACCACAGCAGCCAATAAATGCTGGGGTTGGTTCTGCAACGTACTGTAAAGGATATGCAGCTAACGTTTATTTTGATCCCGTTTATCTTGTGCATGAGGGGATATTCCCAATTTTAAAAATTCCCAGTTACACTCAAAATATTCCACTTACACTTTATTAGCTGACGTCATTCCGTCTGGGACATAATTTATCTAAGAGAAAATGGGTTCACTACACTGGTGATGAAAAGATTGAAGATGAAGTAGGACTGGAATATCAATTTCTGTTTGTATTGATAAACTTGTTGCCAAAGTAAGAAAATGGATGCACAAGAACTGATGTCTGTCAGTTATGTTAAAAGCAGTTGAACATGATATTGAATTTGGTAAACACAGAGACTGATAAACATATCTCATCACTTGGCCTTTCTCAAAAAGCATTTTGAAACAGAAATATGCTCATCCTTGGCTCCACGCTGCAAATGTAACACACAACTGTCTCTTGCTAAACAAAATGGTGTATTACTTGTCATCTGCTGACAAGGTGGCATTATGATTGTTGCTGATCACACAAAAATGGTGCCTGTTTGGAAGACATGTTTTGCTTCATGGATGGCATTTTTCTTCTGGTTATAGTAAAATCAGTGTAATTTTTTTTAATTGTCAGGTTGTATATGTGTGTGTGTGTACATGTGTGTGTTTGTAATGTATATATTGTGTGTTTGTGTGTATATATATATGTGTGTGTATAAATAAAACACTTTCTACAACTATCTTGTCAACATTTGTCATGTGCTAAGAGGTTTTGCTATCAAAAAGAAACATCACCAAATCATTATTTAATTATGTTATGTCTGTCAATGGCAATGTCTTATTTTATATAATGGATTTCTATCGAACCCAAGGTACTACATGTATGGACCCAGCGTTGGACAACTGCAGCTGGTCACTAGTGTGGGTGGTACAAATGCAGTCAAGTGGCAAAAAGAAGGCAGCCAGAGTGATCGCTGGACGCAAGCTTCTGTAACCATTCAGAGCAACAGCAACTACCAGGTAGGTTGGCATCAGCTTCATATGTGGGTATATTCACATTATATAGTTCTGTCAAGAAGCTTTCCATTGTTTGAGGTTTGAACAATGCATAAACATCATGGCACACAGATAGTATCCCATAAATGCTCTTTTTTTCTTCTAACTCTGAGTCTGAAGAAACAGCACAGTGTACGGGCTCTGTAGCACGGACAAGGATCCTGAAATACTTTGGCTAGATTTTTTTTCTCCAAATATTTCCTGTGCAGTGATGTCAGGCTACTCTTTTTGATTTCCAACTGCCAAGGAACTTTTTAGGTGTGCAACAATGCCCACGGGCATCCAATCTGACTACCCAGAGACCAGGGAGAATTACTAGAAGTCCAAGTCCACATGAAAAACTCCCAGCCCCTACCAGGGATTGAACCCTGAACCTCTAGCACTCGAGGCAGACACCATGCCTCAGGACCACCCAGCCCCCTTCCCTCTTTTCCATTGTGAATTTCAGTAATAAGAAAACTATACATTACACAGTTTACTGAATAGCAAAAAAAGTCCCTGTGATGTGGAGGCTGGACACTTACCTCCATGCCCGAAGTTCATAAGTTCATTTTTTTCAAAACTGAGTCAAATTTTGTTTTTAATCACCTTGCCTTCCATTTTGGCCAAGCATAAAATGGATACTAGGCAAAGTCCTGGAAAGTAAAGGCAGCCAGCATGATGTTGACTTAATCACCCACCGAGTGCTGACTGGTCTCAAAATATATGTGTGGCATTATATACTCATGCCTGAGGGTGTAGACAAGTACCCTTTATTGATGATTATATTTTGCTGTTGTTCATGTTGATGTAAAGACTGTATTAATGCACTTGAAAAGATACCCTGAAATATTTCAAACTATATTACAAGATACCTTTTTTTTAAATATAGTTATTTCAAAAGTAATCTCAAACACTAAACTACTTCCAGTCACAAACCAAGAAACTCTAGATAGTATAATAACCGAGAGAATAGGGAAATGGCTTGGCCACGTTATGAGAATGAATCCTCAAATACCTGCCAAAACAGCCCTCACATAGATACCAGAGTGAAAGAGAAAAAAGGAGAGCCCAAAAACCACATGGAGACGAACGATGGAAAGTGACCTGAGTGCTGCATCCCTGACATGGAATACTACACTGAAGATTGCACAGGACAGAAAAGCACGGAAAGTCCTCTCTGAGGTCTCAGGTGCCACTAAGCATAACGAGAATTGATGATTAATGATGGTTTCAACAGTAGTTGAACTGTACATAAATATTACTTATGTATCATCACTGCTGACCTCTTGTGCCATTATGTGCCACATCGAGCTGGCAGTGAATTACGTGATTCTATTCTATTATGTTTTTTCTATGTGTGTATAACAGATATTTGAGTGTTGTATGTTGAATTAAGAATCTACATCATAGCACTCAGGACAATCCCATTAATGCTCTGTCTCCAGCTTCTACAGCAAGTGAAGAGTTCCACTTCTGATGGTACCAGTAACTGTCACGTTGTACATCCTTCTTGCCTTTCCCTGGAGTGTTGAACATTTGCCATATCTGCTGGTAATTCCCCAGCACATATTTAATATATGTATGTGTGTTCACTCTATAACTTGATCATTACGGTCTGAGGAGAATTGCGCCTCGAGGAGTAACCAGGGGATCTGGTCGACGCTCAACACTCATGGAAAGGATGAGATGGATATACAATTAGACAGTCACTAGTGCCATCAGAATTGTAACTCTTCTTTTGCTGCTGAAGATGAGGACAGAGCTCTTATGGTAGGTTATCTGAGTGCTATGAAGTTGATTCTTAGTTCAACATTCAATATTCAACTCTATAACCTGTCAGTCATTATGGTGAAGTACTGTAAATTTACTGTTGTTTTATGTACATCTGTTTTCAGCTGTTCATTCAGGTTGTAAAGGGACAGGGATTTGGAGAAATAGCCGTTGATGATATAAGTCTTGTCCACAATGCATGCCCTCACAAAGGTAATGACTTTGATATATAAGCGAATGTTGCTGATATTTCAAATTCTCTCTTTCTTTGACCACTTTCAGCTAGGTCCGTTCACATTTCTGCTCACTTTCCTTTCAGCTATATTTGTGGTGACGTTTTCTGGTCGCGATCTTATTTGATTCTGGATTGTGTTTAATATTGTCACTTTCTGTTTGTTGTGGTTTCCGCTCTTGCTGTTGTTTTTGTAATCTGGCTGGCCCTGTGCTGCGCTCAAGGTGATTGGATGTTGGATCGATTTATTGTGGTATTCCTTGGCTGTTTGTTGTTTCCGGTGAAAGTAGATTGCCTATCCTAATAAGGACCGGCGGTCGATTGACTTGGGCAGGTACTGATGGCTATACTGCTGAGGTCTGGTATTATTTGGCGATTTTCTCGTATCCTTGTTGTAAAGTACTGCTCCTACATAGGGTTTCGGTAATTTGGCCTTGGTTGTGTTGTATCTGGTATTAGTGTTTGGGGTAACGGTGTCGACCTCGTTTGACTTCAAATTTTGGCTGTCGATGTGGTTCCTCTGGTGATGACCAAAAAACATCATCATCCTGCAGTTCTGAGTTATACAAGTTCGGGTCCTCCATCTCCATGATGCGTTGGTTAATTTGGTCAATTGTTGCCAACGGAAACTGTTTCATCAGCGATGCCTGAGTTTTCTTATCTGGTGTTTGATGCGGCTTTTTCTGGGTCTCGGCTCCCTGTATTTGCTGCCTTCTTGTTGCCTCTTTCCGTGCTTTCTCTCTTTCTTCCATCACTCTGTTGGTTGCTTGCAGTTCCTTGTTAAGTCTGTTGTTTTCTTCGTATGCTCTTCGTAACTTTTCCTCTGTTTCAGCCAGTGCCTTCTTGATCATTGCGACTTCTTTCGCGAGAAGTTGTTGGTTATCCCGCAGATGATTGATGACCGCCTCGTCTTCCCTTGCCTTAGTTGGTTGTTCCTTTTGTGTCTGGATAGTGGCCAGTGCATTCATGATGTCCTCCTTGAATTTTGTCATCTCTGCTGTCATCCGTTTCTGGGTGTCAAGAGTCGCCTGCATTATAGCTCTCAGGCCTGTTATTTCATCTCTGTCTTCATCTCGTTGGGTTTTGGATGCGTCTTTCTCGTCTCTGAGAGCTTGGATGTCACTTTTGAGTTGAGCCACCTCGTTGCTTAATTTGGTGGTAATGGCTGCAGTTATGCCTTGGGTTGCTTCGTGTCTTCTGCGGGCCTCATGGTATGGAATCTTATCCCGTATGGCCGTGGTTGCAATTTCTCTACATTGTTGCAGATAGGGGCACCCCAGGTACCTGGTGCTGTGCTGGCCGTAGCAGTTGGCGCACTTTCTGTTCGTATTGGGTGACTTAAAGTCTGTATCCAGCTTTGCCAGCGGGCAATTGTTGAAGGCATGGTGTTGTGAACAGTATCGGCATACTTCATGTTCGCTCACACAAGTGGCCCGGGAGTGCCATGCTTTTTGACAACGAGAGCACTGGATCACCTGTGGCACGTATTGCTCTGGTCTTTGCATTCTTTGATCTAGGTAGACTTTATCCGGGATGTTTTCTCCTTCCGATGTTATCACCGCCACTGGCAATGGATGCCGTTTTGAGCCCAGTCTCTCTGCTTGGTTGATGTTGACATTGGGGTTTTCTTTCCTTATTTGTTGCAGAATGTCTTCGTTGCTCCATTGCAGGTTGACTCTTCGGATCACCCAGCGTCTTACATTCTGGAAGATGGTGGCCGTCACAGTTATCTCCTCGGATAGTCGGAGTTCTTTCTTGCCGTCGTGTTGGATGTCATCCAGCATGTCTGAGGTGCGGTTGGTTCTGTTTAGTGAAGCTATCACTCCTTCTCGAGTTCTCCTAATCTTTGCGACTGCCCTCTTGCCTAACATGATCTCCAGCATATTGATCAATGTTAGCGTTGCCAGTGTAGTGATTGCTGTCCGGCCCGAGTTGGTCTGTCGTAGAAATATTGTGGCAGGAAATTCATAGCTGCCTGTCTTTCGTCGATCTGGAGATGTTTGTGGACTTGGCTGTGTTGGTTCCGGTGACGCTGGGACGTCACTCAGGGCCTCACTGGTAGTAGGGGCGTCTTCCTGTGGTTCGGTAGTATCTGTCTGCGTCTTCCTGGCCTCCGAGTTAGATCGGGTAGATCTGTCAGTGGGCTGTTTCCTCTGTCCGTTGCGCTTTCCGTTAGGTTTGTTTCTCCGAGACATGGTGCTTGCGGAGAAGGCCTCTCGCTCTGGCAAATACTTTGTATTGTGTTATGTGAGTTTCAGTCCTATCTGGTGATAATTGCGGAGAAGTCCTCTCGCTCTGCCTATGCTCAAAGGGACCAGCAGGTACTGTATTGTGCAGGTATCAATATCTGATGACAATTGCGGAGAAGTCCTCTCGCTCTGCCTATCCTCCAAGGGACCAGCATATACAGTATTGTGCAGGTATCAATACTATCTGATGATTGGCTGATAAGGTGGAGCCGAAGCTGCTTGTGCCGCCGTTGCGTTCGTTGCTGATATGTTTTAAATAGGTTTTTATAACTTTGTTACACATTTATCTCATAAACTTTCCCATGTGAGATCAGGAAATCAGTTTTGGTAGGGAAAAAGAACTAACAGTCATGCTCTAAAATAGCGCTTCTTAAACGTTTTCTGCACTATTGGCGGTTACATTTTTTCACGGCACCTACCCTTAAAGCGTTTGAATACCTATTTTTTAAAAAACAGTGCAAATGTAATGTTCAGTTGTCATTAATGTGATGAATGATACTGTATGAATTTATCATTATTTCCTTTTTGTTTTGGGAAAGTTTAGTTAATTGTACCCTCAAAGCCCTTGAAGGTTGCTCATGTATTTATTTTTTAATGTAAGTGTACGTTAAGAATGCACTACAGTCTTGACAGTAGCATTGTTTTCTGAATACACCTGCATCCAAAGTCTTTTTTAGCTTCCTTCCTGGTATTTCTTTTTTAAATTTATTGAACTGCTGTCATCGCTGATCTCAAGCAGATTCTTAAAAAATTCTTGATTATTGCCGTGGCACCCTTGGCATAAGCTCACAGCACCTAGTTTGAGAACCGCTGCTCTAAAAGATGGCTAATTAGGGGTTAGCTGAAATTTGATACATTGGGTCGAAAGGCACAGATATTACATACAGCCTTGCTGTAAACCAAACCCAATGTGCCAGATGTACCCTTAACTTTGAAGGAACAGCCTAAATTATTTGAGTTTTACAACATGCTTATTAGGAAGCAGTGGCTCTGTTCATTTTCCCACCAAATTTAGACCTTAGAACTCACACAAGGAGGGATGGATGTTTGTTTTCACAGTTTTGTGAAACCTTGAACAAGACAGATGCTTGTTTTTTCCACAGCTTTGTGCGACTTTGAACAAGACATGTGCGGCTACATACAAGATACACATACTGATTTTGCCTGGACAAGAGCCAGCAAGGCAACACTGACAAATGGAACCGGACCTGGAATTGATCACACTTTATCAACCAATCAGGGTAAGTATTCATACATGAATTTTATCATTTATATTGCGGAACTGGTTTTTGCCATTGACAGTCGATTGTTAAATAAAATGTTGTTGCTTTATTTCACTAGAGTCTTAATGATCTTGATTCTGTTTGTAATTTGTGTTTTATTTTACCCGGATTTGTGAAGAGTAATCCAACATAACACAGTCTATTACTAGAAGACTTGATGAAGAAAAGGAAGAAACACATAAATTCAACTGAACATTTCTACAAGAAAACTTATTAGTGGACAAAACAAGAGAATAGAAAATACAGGGTCACATAGAATCACAAATACAGAAGAAAAAAAAGGGAAAAGAAGAGCTCTTACAAACAGGAAGGAACATTAAAAAAAAGAACAGGAGAAGGAATAGCGAAATGTACATAAAAAAAGAAAGAAATGATTTGGGGCTAAAGGTTGAAATAAAATACAGAAATGACAAACATTGATGACTGCAAGGCTGAGAACACCAAAACTATGAAAGCGGCAATTTTTCAACAGGGTCAGCTGGTTTGATCATCACAAAAAGGTTTACATTATAGATGTCATTTTGGCATTGGTGATCAGTTTAGTGATCAGTAAGAATAAAATAGAAAGAGACTGTATTTTCTGTCCAGTATAATTTTTCATGCAGTCTAACTAACTCTTTTAAGTATCAAAAGATGTTTGCAGGTTATGCCTAAGAGTAACAATAGCTACAAGGAATTTAAAACATAACCTGACTCTCACAGTCAATACATATACTTCGTTGGACATTAGAATAACTAGTCAGGTTTCTTTAGTATGCTTAGGCTAAACATCAGATTACATTGTTGGTTACTTGGTAAACGTGATTAGTAACCTATCACACATGGTGTATTGGTTTGGACTGAAAGAGTTAACTGTTTTGTAACTAGACTATGTTTAACTTTCTGCTGTACTGCTCCTGCAGGCTACTACGTCTACACGGAAGCATCAGCTCCACGAAGGTCAGGAGACAAGGCAAGGATTGTTTCCCCTGTCTATCCAGGAGGAGGTCAGGAATGCTTGCAGTTCTTTTACTACATGCACGGATCATCCTTTGGCTACCTGAATGTCTATGTACAGGTTGCAGACAAATCAGAACCTGCAAGCCTTATCTGGACCATGCATGCTGACCGTGGGGATCAGTGGCTTCTGGCACAGGCTACTGTTAAGAAAGCCAATCCATATCAGGTATGTGTGCCTTTTTTTAAAAATAATTTCTGATTTGTTCACAGTCAATTGAGAGATTTTAGAACAAATAAACAGCTTCTTCAATCTTGGGCATATGATTTCAGGTGATGTTAAAAATTAGTTTCACATAACTTACAGGACATTGCAGAACCAACCGCAGAATTTGTTGGCTGTTTTGGTTTTACTAGGAAATTTTATATTCAGTAGTTTGCCATTTCTTTCCAAATAGTCAGCTCTCAATAGTCCTGTTGAAATCAATACAGCTGGAATCAAACTGGGTACCT